GTAGAGAAAAAATATGAACAAACAAATACAAGCTACCAGACTGTTAAAATTATAACAGTGTTGGAAATCGTTTTAAAAAAATGTATGAAAACGGTTTATATTTTACTTTGACATGAATTAGAAGGAAACAACTATTCTATATTGTAGACTATAGACAATTGTGTATTCTATCCTTTAGACTATTCTGTTCTGTAGTCTAGACCATAGACTGTTCTGTATCATAGACTATACACTGTTCTGTAGTATAGACTGTTCTGTAGCCTAGACTGTAGTCTTGACTAGAGGTTATACCGATGTCTAGTCTGAAATCTGTATTATAGACGATTCTGTAGTCTAAACTATTCTTTAGTAGACTATTTTGTCGTTGAAATTTTCATCATCCCCTTTTAAAGAAATAAAACACATTATTTAGTATAGTTTTTTTTGTGTACATTCAATTAAATTTGTTATTTATTTTATTTTTTAATTCTTGTAGATTTTTGATCATCTATTATTTATTTATTTTTTCATATTTATTTATTAATTTGCTGAAATATTAGTAAATTTGTTCTAATATATCAATAATTTCTTATTACAGTAATATTACTATGTTAAATTGTATGTATGTTTGTATATTGTTTTTATTTTTTTTTTAATATTTAATAGTAGTAAATAATAATAAAAAAGTTATTAAACATAAATAAAATTTAGTATTTCAAAAAATATATATGTATATACTACTAAATACTTTAATTTGTTTATATATAATTAATAAGTTTTTGTTTTATTATGGAGTTCTTTTTTTCCAATTTGTTTTTATTTCAGAATAAGTATGTATATAAATATTGCAATTATAATAGTTTTGTTTAAAAATAAAAAAAATATAATTTTCAAAATCTACATACTAATATCAGTTACAAAATAAAACAAAACAAAATTGCACACAAAAATAAAACAAACAAAAATACACAACAGAAATGGAAAACAAATAAATATTAATAAAAATATTGTAAATTTTATTAAAAAAATGTAACTCATATACTCTAAATAAGCAGTTAGTTATGGAGTCAAAGTTTTAAAAAGTTATGGCCACTAAAATTAGCATAATTTGCCTATTTTTAACAGCTGCTTCTTTTTTAGAGTCTATAAGCTACAATTCTAACTTAAAGAAGCAGAATTTTGAATTGTTATGCATATGAAATGTTTGATTAATATTGTATTTCAAATTTTACATGATTGTTTGGTTTGGAAACAGTTTGTTTTAAATTTAAGTTTATATTTATAAAATTTATTTAGTTTAAATTTTTATTTTAATATTTTGAGTATAAAAATAAACATATTTGTTGTTGTTTTTTGAAAATATTACTTAAGATTTTTATAAAATAAATTAATTTAATAAATATATGTTTATAATGCAATGAAAGTATTTATATATTTATCTTAATAATGATTTTTTTTATTCTTTAGTTAAATAATTATAAAAAAACGTGCCGTTAAAAACGTAATTATTAAATAATAAAAAAAGAAACAATTTGAAAAATATAGAATATAAATTAAATGTTAAACTAAATTGCAATAGTTTTTAGTGATTGAAATAGTTTATGTGCAAAGACTTTAAAATATTTTTGTTAAAATAAAATTGAAAATGTTAATTATTAATACATATTAAAAAAAACTGGACTATAGACTATTCCATAGTATCGATTACAGTTCATTCTATAGTCTGTATTATACATCACATTTTAGTCTGTACTATAAAATTATCATTCTATAGTCTGGACTATAGATCATTTTAAAGACTTGATTTTAGATTATTCTATAGTATGAACTATAGATCATTTTATAGTCATTCTATAACCTGGATTATAGATTATTCTATTCTATAATATAGATCATTCTATAGTCTGGTATATAAATCAATCTATAATCAGCTCTATAGACCATCCTATAGTCTGGACTATAGACCAATCTGTTACCTTTAGTTGGGATAATAAATTACCCTATAGGCTGAAATATAGATCATTCTATAGGACTATACTATGTATTCTTTAAACGGAACTATTTTCTTTTGAAAAATTATTTTATAACTTTTGCAATACTTTCTTTATAAGACCATTAAACAAATAATAAAAATAAAAAATAAATTATATACTTAAGTAAGTATACATATATAATATTTTTATGTATTTACATCTAATAAAGACAGTCTTGATTCCATGTGTGTGTGTGTGTATGAGTGTTTTTTTTTTGTTTATGTGTATGATAAGGTAGGTGATTGAATGATTTATATAGATTGCTGAATAGATAATAGAAATGTTTGTTCTTCTATAGAAAATTACATGATTAATAGATATTTCTCAGGCAAATGTGTACGAAAATGACAAATGATTGTTGCTAAGATTGTTTCTATGTCTTTTTGTGGTTTGTTTTGGATGTGGATGATTTTAAATTAAAAAATACAACTAAAAACCACAAATGAACTTATTATTAAATTACTCTATATATGTAGTAGTTATTTTTATATATTTAAAAGCAACATTTGTACAATATTTTATTATTTTTTGTGTTGTTTTTTTTTGTTTTTGTTTTTTTTTTGTTGAGGAAAAGCGCTGTAAATAATAAAATTTTAAATATTGTTCAACCCTTTAGTAGAAAAATGTAGGGAATTAAAAATATTTAAATGTGATGTGAAAAGATTTGAAATTTGAAATAATTATGGCGAAAAGAATTGATACAAAGTTAGAGTTTTATAGAAATAATAGAAATGAATATATAATTAAATTATTGTAATATTTTACAATTTGAAATTCTTCAATGTAAAACTTCCATAGACCAGAGTAAAGACTGTTCTATAGTCTGGTCTTAAGACTGTTCTATAGTCTGGACTGGAAACTAATCTATAATCTAAATTATAGACTAAAAGATTTACTTTTTCTACAGTCTAAATTATAGTTTGTTCGATAGTCTGGATTATAGTTTGTTCGATAGTATAGATTATAAAATGTTCTTTATTCTGGACTGAAGATTATTCTATAATCCAGATTTTAGGATGTTCAGTAGTGCTATAGACAGTACTATAATCTAGACTATAGTTTGTTCTATAATCTAAACTGTTCTATATTATCATTGTCTAGACTATAAACTCTTCTATAGTCTAGACTATAAACTGTTCTATACTCTAGACTGTTTTATAGTCTAGACTGTAGACTATTCTATAGTCTAGACTGTAGGGTAAAGGCTGTTTTATAGTTTAGACTGTAGACTGTTCTATAGTCTAGACTAAATATAGATAGTCTGGATTATAGTTTGTACTATAGTATAGATTATAAAATGTTATATAGTCTGTACTGAAGATTGTTCTATAATGTAGATTATAGGATGTTCAGTAGTACTATAGACTATGCTATAATCCAGACTACAAATTGTTCTATAATCTAGACTGTTCTATAGTATCATGGTCTAGACTATAAACTCTTCCATAGTCTAGACTGTAGACTGTTCTATAGTCTAGACTGTATACTGTTTTATAATCAAGACAAAAGGCTGTTCTATAGTCTAGACTGTAGACTGTTCTATATATAGATAGTCTGGATTATAGTTTGTACTATAGTATAGATTATAAAATGCTATATAGTCTGGACTGAAGATTGTTCTATAATGTAGATTATAAGATGTTCAGTAGTACTATAGACTGTGCTATAATCCAGACTATATATAGTATCATCTATAGTATCATGGTCTAAACTATAAACTCTTCCATAGTCTAGACTGTAGACTGTTCTATAGTCTAGACTGTATACTGTTGTATAGTCCAGACTATAGACAGTTCTATTGTCTATAGTATAGACTGTTCTATAGTCTATAGTATAGACTGTTCTATAGTCTATAGTATAGACTGTTCTATAGTCTATAGTATAGACTGTTCTATAGTCTGTAGTTTAGACTGTTCTATAGTCTATAGTTTAGACTGTTCTATAGTCTATAGTTTAGACTGTTCTATAATCTAGACTATAGACAGTTCAATAGTCTAGAATATAGACAATTCTATAATCTAGACTATAGACAGTTCAATAGTCTAGAATATAGACAATTCTATAATCTAGACTATAGGCAGTTCTATAGTCTAGACTAAAGACTGTTCTATAAAATAGTCTATAGTCTAGACTGTTCTTTAGCCTCTTCTATAGTCTAGATTGTTCTGTTGTGTAGACTAAAGTCTTGAGCATAGAGAGTTTTATAGTCTAACATTTGCTGTATTATTCTCCTCCACCTTTCATAAAATCACCTTGTACTACCACCAAGCTATACCAAATCCACCTCATTTGTTAATCTCTAACTGTTCCCAATATTACTTAAAATGTTGCTTCATAACTTTACAATCTTTTAGCAGCAAAGTAGACATTTTTTTTTAAGAAAAAACAATTGCAAAAATCTCTTTGCAAAATTTTATTTGAAAAATACAAAATCTTTAGTATTTATACTAGTAAATTAATAAAAAGAATCTTTTTTTTTTAAATAATAAATTTCAAAACAAAAACAGTTTTGAAACAGTAAATTTATAAAAAAAAAAGTTATTTGTAAAATCTTATAATTAAATACAATAATTTACACTTATTTTTAAAAATTGTTCAATAAAAAAAATAAGAAATCAGTTTAAGACTTAGATTAAGGGGATTATTTAGACAATAAGCCCCCTGGAGTTTGAAAACAGTTATTGCTTTTTTTAAGCAATAAACTGCTCCGTTGTTAGAAATAAATAGTTAATTAATTAAGAAACAAAAATAACTTACAATTGTTAAAAGCTAAAGGGTTAAAAAAATATATAGAAATATTTTAAAGATTTACTTTAAGCATGCAAAAAAAGGAAATACCAAACACTTCATTTTTGTAAAACCATTTTGTGTGTGTGTGGGAGGAGGAGAAGGAGTGTGTGTGTGTTTTAACATCGTTCATCATTCGTTGTGCAAGTAAAATTAGATTTTTTTATCATAGATACTTTTTTGTGTGTTAATGTGTGTGTGTTTTTTTTGAAAATTTTATCAATTTTTGTTTTTTGTTTTGTTTTTGTGTTGAGTTTAGAGATTGACATTTCCTGTTTTTATGTTACTGTTTTATATGTTTTTTTTTGTTTTGTTTTAGTGATTCTTCTTAAATATTTACGCATGTGTGTAGATTTATTTATGCACTAATTATTTTACATTTGCCTTAAGGCTTAATGGTTTTTGAAATTTGCCACATATCTTCTTCACCTAAGAAGTTTTCAAAATTATCAAAGAATCTTATAATACGTTCGTTGCGTCGATATGTATAAGAGCTAAAGGAAACATAGTTAATAATAAAATAAAATCCTTAATAAATAAACATAATAAGTAATTTCGTTTAAAATAACTTACCCTTTTTTAAAACGTTTCATATTTACAATAATATTGTACTGTTGCCAACGCTTGGAAAAGTTTACAATGCCGTCTTTTAAATAGTCTGGATTGCCCACATGTACAAAGGTAAGATCTTGTAGAACAAGGCCACTGAAAAGTAGTTTATAGAATTCAGTTTTTAAAAAGAATTTTTGCCTAAAAAGAGATAGAGATTACTTACATATAGGGTATACAAGGGGGTTGTGTATCTGCTAGTGCTTGACGGTAATTGCGAAAACTCGAACTTGAATCAATTATATTACAATTATTTTGTATATTTTCCTTAATCGATTTATTCCATTCAAGTCTGAAAAGAAAACAAATTTGTTTAAAAATTAATTTAAATTTTAGCAAAAAATGCTGTTAAGAAATTTAAGAAACTAATTGAATATTAAATATTAAATTTCTACTCTTAACACCTAGGCACGACTGCGTATGATTCCTAACTTACCTTCTAATGGGCGATGAATCCAACGCCGACAATAAGGCCAAATATGAATTATAATTATGTATCTTCTTCAAATGTATCATTATCTTAATAAATTTCTCTACATATTTCTCGCGTTCTTTGGCACATTGTAACATCAGTATTTTCGAACGTGCCCAATAGGACATTTTATTAAAGTGTTCAGTGAATTTATTTAAATTTGGTGATTTCTCTTCACATTGATCTTTGGCAAATATTAAAACTTCAGGTATTTCAATTTTCTGAAATAGTTCAGCATCCAGTAGGGTCATTTGTTTGGCAATTTCCAAAGCCTTAAAATCGAGCAGACTGGGCTGTACGGTGACCGTGGAAAACATTGTGTTGGTGGGATAGGCAGGCAAACGTGATTTTTTATACAAATTGACCTAATAAGTCGATAAAAATAAAGAGAAATAGTTTTTTGTACAAAAATATATATAAGAGAAAGTTAAGGGTAACCACCTACCTTTTCTTCAATTTGTTTACGCAATAATTTGGCCAAATATAATTGGCCGGCACATACTAATTCATACACAAATTCCACTAATAAAGTAAGTAGATTTGCACAAGTTAAATCGGTGCAGCTAAAAAAGGAAAACATTTTTATATTATTTATATTTTTGGGAATGTTTTATAATTATTAAAACTTACGTTAAATCATTCACAACTCGTACTAATAGCGAAAACGTTTCCTTTGCCGCTTTTTGTTTTTGATCATTTGATTGGCAAAAGAATACCGTATAACGATGGGTTAACTTTTCAATTAAATCGATGGGTTGTATAAATGTACGGAACGTTGTTATAAATGCTTCACTAAAAGCTTTAATTCGGAATAAAAATATTGTTTTTTAATAGAATTTTTGCGGTTAAAGAAAATTATTGTTTACCTTTATCTTTTTGACTTGCACGACTTGCATGAACAATTAAAGCATCTATATGGCCACCCCTTACCTCTGGACCATCCTCATTGTCTTTTTTGAATACTAAATAAGGGGTAATGTCAACCTCTTCCAATATATTTGGCAGATGGTTGATTTCTTCGGTACACATGGGACTCTGTGGAAAAAAGCAATTTATATTATTAATTTTGGAAAAGTATTTTTATTTTCTTGTCTATTGTACAGACTATAGTCTTGTCAATAGTCCAGAGTATAGTATTGTCTATAGTCCAGACTGGAATCTTGTCTATATTATTCAGACTATATTCTTGTCTATAGTCCAGACTATATTCTTGTCTATAGTCCAGACTATAGTCTTGTCTATAGTCCAGACTATAGTCTTGTCTATAGTCTAGTCTATAGTCTTGTCTATAGTCTAGTCTATAGTCCAGACTATATTCTTGTCTATCGTACCGACTATATTCTTGTCTATAGTCCAGACTATAGTCTTGTCTATAGTCCAGACTATAGTCTTGTCTATAGTCCAGACTATAGTCTTGTCTATAGTCTGGTCTATAGTCTTGTCTATAGTATATTCTATAGTCCAGACTATATTCTTGTCTACAGTACCGACTATATAGTATTGTCTATAGTCTTGTCTATAGTCCATACTATAGTCTTGTCTATAGTCTAGTCTATAGTCCAGACTATTATACTGTCTGGACTATAGTCTAGACTATTGTCTTGTGTAAAGTCCAGACTATAGTCCAAACTATAGTATTGTCCAGACTATAGCCTTGTTTATAGTTCAGACTATAGTCTTGGTTTTTCTTCCACACTCACCTTTCTATTATAGTTATTATAATTGACCATTTCTTCCATTTCACTTGATGTATAATCACCGTTCGGTCCCACCACTTTATCGCAAGGTGATGATGACATTGAATTTGTACCTTTTTGCTGCATGGACGTATCGTAAACATTTTGTAATTCATGAGAATGTAAAATATTGCCACCACTCTCATCATCATATTGATCACCCACTTCCTCCGATAAGGTAGTCATCATTTCATTACCCGTTCCTGAACCCATTAGGATACGATGATCTGATGGTAAATGTTTTGGTTTTGGACTAGGCGGTGGTGTTGTTATAATAGTGGGTGGTATTGGTGATGTTGAATTTCTTAGAATTTGTTTATGATTTTTCGGTGGTAAAGCAGGTGGGGTTTCATTTAAATCACCGCCAACAAATTCCTCTTTGGCAAATGTAGCAATACTAAAATTGTTTAATAACAAATTATGTAAAAAAATAATAAAAAGGAAAAGCTGTTTAAAGAAACCTACTTCATAGTTTGACTGTGTGTTATGTTTCGGTTTAAATTACAATCCGATATTGTGTGACGATGTTGTTGTGTTGAGGCTGAACATATTTCCATATAGGCCAAGACTGTCACAAAAGATATAAACAAATATAAAGGGGTTTTATTAGTTTTAATTAACATTTAATATTATTTCTTTTGTTTAAATTCAACTAAAAGCCAAACATTTAAATACTTATTTTTACAAATTTTAAGTTTAAAAGAAAGCATATTGGCTAGTGGGTGGCCTTTTCAAAACACTAATTTTTCATTTTCTAACTAAACTTACCTGAAAATGCCACACTTTGAAACACTAGAAAGTAGTTTTGTTTTAATTTTTTTTTGTTTGATTTGAAAATAAAAACGAATAAAATTTACACAAAAACGTTAAGACAATTACATTTTCTTAAGAATAATTTGTTTGTTATAAGATTACAGGTGTTTCTTTGTTACTGTTGTTATGGAAGATGTTCTTTGTAATAATGTAATTGATGTTTTTTTTTTTGGAAAAATAAGTAATCAAGCAAATGTTTAGTTTATGATAATTATTATTTATAGCATGAAATTTTTATTCTTTTAGCAAATGAACAAATAGTTATAACATTTTTTGAAAAGATTTGCAAAAATATACCATCGATATTTACAGAATTTGTTTACAACAAAAAAGTTTTACATTAAAAACATTTACTTTGAGATAAATTTATTTATTAAACAATCAACTGTATTAGTCTTGCATAATACATAAACTCCAGGTGTTATCAATAACAGTTTCTTATACGCAAACTCATCAGTTTTTACAGCCGTTAGCAATGATTTTAGGTCTTGTAAGTTTGATTAAGACATGCTTATCACAATTTAATATGTTCTGTTGTAGAGGTCTAGCAAACATCAGTATTTTCTCTAGATTTATCTTTTCTGTCAGAGAGTTTCCTATAAATTGTAGTATATTTACAACACTTGCTAGATTTGTAAGATATTTTAGCTCAGTTTATTATAAAGTTGATTTTCATTAGACTTTTATCTTGAACATTTTATCAAGTTTAACAAATAGCTGTATTGTATATTTAATACCTAGATAAAGATTTACCATAAAGTTTGTTATGAACTGTGGCATATTTACTAGATTTGCTATACTCAGAAGTTAGGTAAATTTGATAAGTGTAACAAAAGTTATTTTTCGATATAGTTTTGTTGTGGTCTAGCAAATTGCATGTTAACAAGAAAGTTTTCTATAAATTGTGGTATTATTACAATGTTTTGCAAGATATAAACAGTCTTTTTTCTATAAAAAGTGATTCCCATTTACTATTGCTAATTTGATCAAATAACGAGGCAGTCTGCGACAGGCATGGACAATTCAGTATTTTTTGATATCGAAAAATACCGCGGTACTCCCACGACATTTTCGGTACATTTTCTAACTTACAAACTTTTGTTAGGTAGGCTATAGTTTAGTCTATAGTTTAGTCTATAGTCTAGTCTATAGTCTAGTCTATAGTCTAGTCTACAGTCTAGTCTATAGTCTAGTCTATAGTCTAGTCTATAGTCTAGTCTATAGTCTAGTCTAGTCTATAGTCTAGTCTATAGTCTAGTCTATAGTCTAGTCTATAGTCTAGTCTAGTCTAGTCTAGTCTATAGTCTAGTCTATAGTCTAGTCTATAGTCTAGTCTATAGTCTAGTCTATAGTCTAGTCTATAGTCTAGTCTATAGTCTAGTCTATAGTCTAGTCTATAGTCTAGTCTATAGTCTAGTCTATAGTCTAGTCTATAGTCTAGTCTATAGTCTAGTCTATAGTCTAGTCTATAGTCTAGTCTATAGTCTAGTCTATAGTCTAGTCTATAGTCTAGTCTATAGTCTAGTCTATAGTCTAGTCTATAGTCTAGTCTATAGTCTAGTCTATAGTCTAGTCTATAGTCTAGTCTATAGTCTAGTCTATAGTCTAGTCTATAGTCTAGTCTATAGTCTAGTCTATAGTCTAGTCTATAGTCTAGTCTATAGTCTAGTCTATAGTCTAGTCTATAGTCTAGTCTATAGTCTAGTCTATAGCCTAGTCTATAGTTTAGTCTATAGTCTAGTCTATAGTCTAGTCTATAGTCCAGTCTATAGTATAGTCTATAGTCTAGTCTATAGTCTAGTATATAGTCTAGTCTATAGTCTAGTCTATAGTCTAGTCTATAGTCTAGTCTATAGTCTAGTCTATAGTCTAGTCTATAGTCTAGTCTATAGTCTAGTCTATAGTCTAGTCTATAGTCTAGTCTATAGTCTAGTCTATAGTCTAGTCTATAGTCTAGTCTATAGTCTAGTCTATAGTCTAGTCTATAGTCTAGTCTATAGTCTAGTCTATAGTCTAGTCTATAGTCTAGTCTATAGTCTAGTCTATAGTCTAGTCTATAGTCTAGTCTATAGTCTAGTCTATAGTCTAGTCTATAGTCTAGTCTATAGTCTAGTCTATAGTCTAGTCTATAGTCTAGTCTATAGTCTAGTCTATAGTCTAGTCTATAGTCTAGTCTATAGTCTAGTCTATAGTCTAGTCTATAGTCTAGTCTATAGTCTAGTCTATAGTCTAGTCTATAGTCTAGTCTATAGTCTAGTCTATAGTCTAGTCTATAGTCTAGTCTATAGTCTAGTCTATAGTCTAGTCTATAGTCTAGTCTATACTATAGTCTAGTCTATAGTCTAGTCTATAGTCTAGTCTATAGTCTAGTCTACAGTCTAGTCTATAGTCTAGAACATAAGTTCAAAAAGTTAAGATAACAATCTTAAAATTTTGTTAAAGAGTTTTTGAAATAAACTTATTTTTTCTTCATTGGTTTTAGACGATCAATAAAGTTAATCAAACAAATAGCAAATATTTAATGTAAATAATTACATGAAAAATGTACAGTGTAAAACGAAGATTAAAATAAATATTATTATGAGTGTAAACCATGTATGTATGCGCATATGTATAAGTGAAGAATGTATTGAAAAACTAGATTTTTTAGGAGATTAAAACTTACTGTGTTTTTTCTTCATTGGCAAAGGTGGAGGTTCTTCAATTTGACCACTACTGGTAATATTTATGGCATTGCAACTACCCGCTGGCTTATCCAGACGCCTAGAGTCAATAAGACTGGTATGCCTAGTTTGCCACTGGTATGTTCTGACACGTAATTCAGGTAATTCGTTAATACTATAAATAAATTTAAAAAGATATAGGACGTTTCCATTAACGCAAAAAAGAAACAACATACTTTTCAAATTCCAAATCATATGGTGATAACTGACGTTCTTTGCCCAACTTTGATATTTTTGGTGGTAAAGCTGGTGGCTGTAAATCGCTGGTATTTAACATACCCTCATCTGTTATATCCAAACTATTGCTTTGCATTAACAATTTCTTAGTAGTGGAGGAGGCTATGCTGCTGGTAGCGGCACTCGTAGTAGTAGTTGACATAGCTTGTAATTGTTCTAGCATTTTTCTTTCATCTTCGAATTGATCGGGTGAAGAAATACGTCGTTCATCGTCATTGCCTATACGCAAAGCCGATGATTCTGATATACTACTCGTGCTGGATATACAAACAGAGGAGGTTTTCTTTGTGGTTTGTGTCATATTATGGATTTGAAAGAATTCATCATTTATACTATTATTACTAGTCATAATGGCCAACTCTGAGGAGGAATTACTGGACTTTGTTGAAGACTTGGAATAACTTTGTGTTGAAGTGCGAAAAGAATTGATGGAAACAAAACCTGTAGAGGAAGAAAAAGAAATAAATAAATTTTGTAAGTAAAATGTTTATGTTATTTAATAGTTAAGTAAAACGCAACAAAACATGCAAACAAATTGTTAAAAAGAACAATGTAACAAAAAAAAAAAGTAAAACCAAATTATTTTATAAAAAAAATATATAAGGAAATAGTAGGTGGTAAAACTATTACAGCAAAAATTATTTTAAACAATTGGTGTTTACAACAGCTAATTTTTTTATTTTTTATGGATGAAAATGTATTTTTTATTTCTAAGACAAGATACGAACAACAAGTTTAGAAAATTAGTTGTTAGAAAAAATATTCATTCAAGTACCCGATTCGTTTGAGTGCCGATGATTGTTCGCTTTACGTAATTCCGTTTTACCCATATCCTCTTCATTTAAATCACCGCTGGCCGCTGCTATATTTGTATTTGCTGTTGATCCACTTTTTGCTTTGGTTATATTGCTTTCTGTTAGCGGTTCGTTTAACTTATTTAAACCACCACCAATAACACCTTCAGTATTGTTTTCTAAATTTATCAATTTTTTATGTTTTAGTTACAGAATTTGCGAAAATGATATTTTTTTTTTTTTTTTTTTTTTTGCAAGATAATATGAACTTAAATTAAATTTGTTATTTTATGGAAATAATTTTATTAAATTATAGTTTACATTAAAATACATTAGAAGTAAGTGTAACTGAGTTAAAATAAATTGTAATTGCATTTACAAATTCTGTAGTAAAAAGCAGCGATTTAACTCAAACATCTCTTTCAAAACTGTTTTTTAACAAATTAAAATTATAAGCTAGTGAACATTGTTCTCAAAAAATTTACTTTTATTAAGAGTACCTTTCTCAAAATGTACTTTGTATAAAAGATTGCTTTCAAAAAACTTATCGTTCTAAATAACCCCTAAATTGACCAAAAGTACTTTATAAGAACAGTACTTTTATAAAAAAATCCTATGAAAGATTAAATAAACCCTAAAATAACCTAGTTCAGTTGTAGTTCAGTACTAGTTTAGTTCTAGTACAGTTCTAGTTCAGATCTAATTCAGTTCTAGTTCAGTTCTATTTCAGTTCTATTTCAGTTCTATTTCAGTTCTAGTTCAATTCTAGTTCAGTTCTAGTTCAGTTCTAGTTCAGTTCTAGTTCAGTTCTAGTTCAGTTCTAGTTCAGTTCTAGTTCAGTTCTAGTTCAGTTCTACTTCAGTTCTAGTTCAGTTCTAGTTCAGTTTTAGTTCAGTTCTAGTTCAGTTCTAGTTCAGTTCTAGTTCAGTTTTAGTTCAGTTCTAGTTCAGTTCTAGTTCAGTTCTAGTTCAGTTCTAGTTCAGTTCTAGTTCAGTTCTAGTTCAGTTCTAGTTCAGTTCTAGTTCAGTTCTAGTTCAGTTCTAGTTCAGTTCTAGTTCAGTTCTAGTTCAGTTCTAGTTCAGTTCTAGTTCAGTTCTAGTTTAGTTCAGTTCTAGTTCAGTTAGTTCAGTTCTAGTTCAGTTCTAGTTCAGTTTCTAGTTCAGTTCTAGTTCAGTTCTAGTTCAGTTCTAGTTCAGTTCTAGTTCAGTTCTAGTTCAGTTCTAGTTCAGTTCTAGTTCAGTTCTAGTTCAGTTCTAGTTCAGTTTCTAGTTCAGTTCTAGTTCAGTTCTAGTTCAGTTCTAGTTCAGTTCTAGTTCAGTTCTAGTTCAGTTCTAGTTCAGTTCTAGTTCAGTTCTAGTTCAGTTCTAGTTCAGTTCTAGTTCAGTTCTAGTTCAGTTCTAGTTCAGTTCTAGTTCAGTTCTAGTTCAGTTCTAGTTCAGTTCTAGTTCAGTTCTAGTTCAGTTCTAGTTCAGTTCTAGTTCAGTTCTAGTTCAGTTCTAGTTCAGTTCTAGTTCAGTTCTAGTTCAGTTCTAGTTCAGTTCTAGTTCTAGTTTCAGTTCTAGTTCAGTTCTAGTTCAGTTCTAGTTCAGTTCTAGTTCAGTTCTAGTTCAGTTCTAGTTCAGTTCTAGTTCAGTTCTAGTTCAGTTCTAGTTCAGTTCTAGTTCAGTTCTAGTTCAGTTCTAGTTCATTTCTAGTTAAGTTCTAATTCAGTTCTAGTTCTGTACTTATTCAGAAACATATTTTATAAAAAAGTGAAATCTTCACTTAAGATCTATATATCGAACTAGTTCAATGATATTTTATGAAAAAGGAGTATTAGCATGAGAAATTAACTTACTATCATATGCCATATTAAATCTTTGACATATATCCTCTTCACGGGAATGATCAAAAGAGCATTGACTAGAATTTTCATCCGGCGAACGAGAACGTACCGATAGACTAGAAAATTATACAATAAAACAAAATTAATACTTGCATTTTCGTTTGTTTGTTTTTTTTTTTTTTTTTAACTTACTGATCAACACCTATCACATCGGTACTGTGATCCAAATCGGTATTAATGCTGGTATCATAAATTGCATGTTGATTTGTATGACTGACTCTCTTTGGTGGTAAAGGTGGAGGATTATGTGATCTAGGATTGAGGGATCATAAGATAAATTAAGTAAAACTCTTTTTAAAGTTCATAAGGTAAGTTGATTTGTTTACCTATTAGGCAATGGTGGTTTTGGTGGGGGACTGGTATCTCTTAAAATACTTTCGGTACTGTGAGAACGTAATGGATTGGATGTTGTTTTTTCAAGAGTATCTCTTTCTCTAAATAAAACAATAATAAATAAATAAATAAATCTTTTAACAGGAATAGTTTTTAAATTTTAATGTTACTTTGGTGTCAATGTTATATCCGGCAGGGAGGTACGTTGTCCAGCAACTTCCACCGATGGACGCATTAACAAATTATGTGGATTATTTGATCCTCCCGATGATGTTGATATTTGAGAATCTGTTGATGTGGTATCATATTGAAAAGCCAAACCTTCGCGTTCTTTTAGTTTTTGATGAGCCAGTGTGGCGAGATTCTTTTTATTGAAATAAACAAGTTTATATGAAATTATTAAACATTTTAGTTTAATTTTGTATATGGTTTTAACATACCCGTACGGCTTCCTCTAAAGGATCCACAATTTCTCGTACATTATCATCATTTAGTGAGGAGCATTCTTCGGACTCTTCGCTAAGCATAACTTCATCAGAGAATTTTATAAGTTTACCCAAACATCGATAGACTTGCTGGGTGGCCGAGACTAAGACAGCATTATTTTCATTTAACATATGAGCTTGTATAACTGAAAGTTTGCAGAACAAGATGATAAATTTTAATATTTTCAAAGCAAAATAAGATCTTATTTACCCGATATCATGCCTGCCGTATATTCCAATATAACTGTTCCATTGCCTGGTAATACCTCTAATTTTTTCTTATGTACAACATCTCGAAAATGTTTTAGAGCATTTGATATGTCCTTGACATGAAACGCTAAAGATTGGGCTGATTTATCCACTTCTTCGGCGGTTGGTGGTTCTTTTTTATGTCGTGGACTTTGAGGAGAATGGGATCTTTTATGAAATACAAAAAAATAACAAAATGAAAATATTTAAAAAGAGTTATTTATTAAATAAAACCCACCTCCCCAGTGTATTGGTAGGCGTACGCATTAGATTGATCTTCTCAAACAAATCGTCCTTAAATGATCTTGCTCTTCTGGCTAATTTTGTACCCTTTAGGCTATTCTTATGACCCGATGAACCCGTAACACTTTGATTAGATGATGATGTGCCGGTGCTAGTGCCGCCGCTACCCAAGGGAGTACTTGTCTGTTGGGTGGGAGTGGCAGGCGACGGGGTATTCGGGCTACCATACAGATTTGTTTGTGATGATAGGGTAGAATTTGGTGTGGATGGAGTGCTGATGACGATATCTATAAGAAAATAGTAACAGCAACAAGTATTAATATAAAAAATTTATCTATGGCTTATAATTATGACAATATAGCAGCTCCATAATAGGGCATTATGTGTCAATAAAATATATTTATATAAATTAAAATGAGAAGAAAAAAAAAACCATCCATAATTATATTTATTAAGCGTAAAAATTAATCACGTATAAACTGCTGTAAAAGACAATAAAAGACGTACATTGTTTATACAATAAAAATAGCAGAAATATGCAACAACTAATTTTAAAAATAGCACAAACTATAGACAATATGAGATAAACAAATACCATATTATACGGAAACCCCTGTTGATATTATTGACCCCATGAATGTATGTATTTTGTAAATTTACTTTTCAAATATTACAAAATAATGTACACAATAACTAAGCAACTATTTATTTAATAGCTTCATTTAATTTTGTCTACATGTATCTATTAGAAACCGCTAAACATTTTTTGTAAAAGTAAAAGTTTGTTTATTTTGTTGCATTATTTTGTTCTAAAATTATACACTTTTTTAATGGTTGAGGTTTGTGTTTGTTTAATTTTGTTTTCTTTCTTTTTTCTTGTTAAATTGTAAGCATCATTCTATTCTGTTGATTTAACACACATTTGCAAAAATTATAAGTCCTTTTTTAATGAAGATTATGATTCATATTGCTTAATTTATAGAATTATTAGCTGACTCATTAAATGTCTACAAAATTTATAAAACTAATGAGTTGTTTATAGAAAGGTGTTTAAGTATGGTTTAAAATTAAAATTATTGATCATAAATAACTGCTAAAGTTTGTAAGAACTTGAAATTAAATAATATTTGTTAATTTGGGGCCCAGGATCGGAAACAGGATCATTTTAACAAATTCTTAAATAAGTTTAGAACATACGATCTATGATCAATTAGGCGACAATCAATAATGATCGCATATCTTATTTTGATTGAATTTATTATTTTTAACAAATTATTAAATAGGATCACTCAAATTTCAAATACTTTCGTAAATAACGATTATAATAGGTATGTGATCTATGATCAATTAAACTTATTTTAATTAAATGTGATCTTGTTACCAAATTGTTAAACATGATATTAAAATTTAAAAAAAATTGGTGAAAATAAATCCTACTACCTATACCTATGATTTATGATCAATTAGGCGCCGATCAATATTCAATTTCTTGATACACTTTCTATGATAGTAATTTGTGCTAAATTTAAATTTCTGGAAATAAGGATCATAATATGCGATCTATGATCATTTAGGCGAAGAACATTATGGAACTTACAAACTACAAGTGACTTTTTTCTTGTTTTATTAATTATTAAAATTTGGAATTGGTGCCAACATTATTATCAAACAACATCTCGTCACTAAATCTCTTCACTACTGTGTGGGACACAATCTTAAATAAATAAATAATTCAGATTAGAATTCTGGCTTTTTCAACACTTTAAAAAACTGCGCATTTTATAAATATTTTGCAGGTAATGCTGCGGAATTGTTTATCAAAAAAAAAAAAAAAAAATTATTTAAACAAAACTTAATCCGTTGTCAACAAACCATGACGAATAGACAAAAAAAGCAACATTTTTGATTTCATTAAACTATTTGAAAGCGGTAGTTGTTGTTCGTTGTTATTTGGTAATCGTTGACTCCATATATAGTTCCAAACTAAATGAAATAACTTACGCCAAATTTAGCTCTTCCTCCAGACAATTGACAACACTGTGTTTCATTAAAGTCACGAGCTGGGTGTAAAAGAACTACTAGCTAACACTTCAGCACCCTACTTAGATGCTGTTAACTTTAATAAATTTTAGTTTATCTTTTAAAATTGGATATTTCTGGTTTTATTTGTCAGTTGTAATAAAAATTTCACCCCTTTTTTAGTAAATTGAAGTCACTTCACTTATTTATTCACAATTGTACGCTAGACTGGCACTTGCTGAGGAATTTTTACCAGTACTTTTTGAGTAACTAATACTACTGCTGCTGTCGCTGATCATTCAGTCAGTCTAGCAGTCAGTATCCGTTTTTGTTGTGTTTCAGATATTCACATACTCGTAAAATACATTTTTTTGTTTTATTTTCTTTTCAGTTAAAAAATATCTTGTGATGAATCAATTCAATCGTCATACATAGATACATTTATATAGTAAACTCTCACACACACGCTAATATTTACTCTCTCTAACACAAACACACTCACTCACAAAACTCTAGCTCCGTCGTCTTGTCATAGATACAATATTTTTTTACACAATCTGCTGCTGCCTGACTTGGCGTAAAAAAAATTGTAAATGTATGTAGAAGCGAAGAGTAAAAAAAATGTGAACTTTTATACCTTTCTGCATCATTTTTCAGCCTCCTCCAAACGTTTGTTTGACAATATTTCAATTAAATAATAATATTTAGTTATAGTTTTCTTTATTTTTTGTAAGATTTTTGCATTTTTCTTTGTTATTTGCACAGTATTTTAATAAAATTTCAATTGAGATTCGACAGCAGTAAAAAGTGCAAGATTAACTAATAAAATATTTCTTTCTCGCTTCACGCCCAGAGACCTGCGCCGACCAAAATTAAAGCGTCGACGGCAAAAGTTTTTGGCTGCGGCTTTAAATCGACTATAAGCCGGCTAAGTTTCTTTATATGTAGAAGAAAAAAATTAAAATTCTCTTGATATATAACTTTAATTTTATTTTTAATATTTTAATCAGGGATTTAAAAGAATAAATTCTATTTTGAATTCATTCACATTAGTTTTAAAATTAACTTTAAATATAGCATTAAATTTTTGTGTCAGCTTTTAAATTCTTCTTTGAATAATTCTTATTTTTAAATTCTTCATTTCATTTTTAAATTGTCAAATTTCAAAAAATCAAGTAACAAGTTATGAATATTTGTATAGATACCTACTTTAGAGGAAAATAATATATGTGGTGGCGGCTTTCAGCCAAATCGTTGCAGGTCTTTGTGTTGTAGGTGTATCTGAAAAATAATGCAGCATTGCCAGAGTTAGGTAATTGAATGTACATATATGGCAATACTGTGTCAGTGTTTGTTGTGTGAGTGTTGTTCAGTGGCAATTATTTTTCACTGCACGTTAATTATACATTCAAATTTAAAAATATATACATATGTATATACATATTGCTCATTCACTACAAGACTGACATAATCCAAAATAGAACATTTCGAGAAAAACGGCTTTAATGTTTTATGTCATTTTACAATTTCTTATATAACTTCAAAAAAATCATAGGATTTGAAAGATTAAGTCATATTTAGATAGAAAAAGTTAATATGTTTTTCAACTAAATTTAAATAAATATTTTACGTATTAAATATTAAAATATAAAATTTTATAACTTATTAAAATATAAAATACTAAAAGACATGACTTTTAGTTTTAATTTATTAAACAAAAGTCCCTCTCTTACCGATAATAGGAGGCATTTTTGAAAATAGATAAAACTAAATGAAAGATTTTAGAACGGCTTGTTTTGCAACAGAAAATTATTCAAATTAATAGAGTTTCAAACAGAGAAAGAAAGGAAAATGACAGAGTGTTTAGCATTCAGAAAATGTCCTTTTTTAAAAATAGAGAAATTTAAAAAATATTTGTTGTCTTTGAAATTTACATCATAAATAATTTCCTATCTAAATCTCATTTTAAAAATTGTAATATAATTTAAAAACCAATATTTTTAGATAATATTCGGCATAGCGAATTTTGCATTGTTACTTGTATTATATGTACATATGTAAAAATATTTTTAACTTTAAGATGAAATAGATTAATAGAAGATTTAAACATTATATTCCATATTTATATTTAAGGTATTTATAAGTTTAAATACAAATTGAGAATTTTTTAAATTATTACCTAGAGTTTTTTTATTGAAATTTAATAACATTTTTGAAACAAGTATGTACAATTTAACACCCCTGCTATGTTATCAATTTACAATGAATGTTTCCTACGCAAAAGAAGCATCCAATAAGAATTTTTCTTTTATTAAATTTTCTGTCTGGTATCGCTGTAAATTTGAACAACAAAACTAGAAAAGTTTTCGGAACATAAATAGTCCTGCAGCCGCCTGTATAGTTCACAGCATATTTATTTTTAATAATTTGTGCCTTTTTCATAAGCTTTTTAAATTAAATGCTCCTTAATTAGCCCATTAAATGCTCCTTAATTAGCCCAAATGTTGGTCCCTATCACTTTGTTTGCTTAAATGTTTAGACATATTTAATTAATTCACGCCAGCAAAACACCTGCTCCGGCATTAAAAACATAAACTCTAATTCGTTAACATTTAATAACGTTGATAAATTTTAAAATAAACTGCTGAAAACTACACATCTTAAGCTAATTTAAGCTGCCACCGTAAATTTTAGTATCAAACGCCGTTAGTTTTTTTGTCGGCGCCGGATTCTAGTATGTGGTTGTCGAAAATTTTTTTTCATAAAAAAGAACTAGAGAAAATTTTCGACAACCACGGACAAATTTTTTTTGTGCCCCTAGACGATTAAATAATTTTTAATATAAAAGAAGTATTGATTAATTAAAACTAAAATAATGTCATAAATTATTAAAAAACCTACCGAGTTAAACGCGAGTGAACGAATATTAAGTTAGTGTTTAAAGGAAAAAAGTTGTAAAACGGAAGAAATCCTGAAGATAAAAAATCTTCATTGCAAAAAGGTGCTTACAAAATGAAAAAAATATATGTATAAATATTACACCCTATATAAAAAGTTCTCGTTTTACACACCACAAAAAAATCTATACGCAAGCAAAATATTTGTTGTTACTTTGAGTTTAAAAGAGTTTTTTTAATTTTAATAACAAGAAAAAAAAAATAGTACATTAAAATATTAAACATAATTAAGACACAAAAAAAAAATAAGAGGAAAAGAAAAAGATCTTATAAGATGCCAAAATACTAGATACAAATTGTGATTGGTGTTCTTCAGCATATGTGTATATGTGAACAACGTGTACATGAGTGTTAGTGAGTATGAGTGCCTGAAACAGTGTTGCCAGTTAAAGGGACTTAATCCTTAATTTAGTCATTAGGATTTTGTAAAGTATATTCTACAGGAAATACCATTTAAGATTTTTTAACGTTATTTTAAAATTGTATATAAAATCGATAAGAGATTTTTTAATACTTTATTTAACATACATATAGAAATACTGAAAAAAATCCTAAAAAATTGAATTAATTAATAAAAACTACAAAACTTAAGGGAGGAGGATATTATTTAATGATGAAGTTTACTTGTAATATTTTTTAATATAAATAATAAAAATATATGCGAGACTGGCGAAACTACTTAAAACATGATAGGTCCTTTAAGAAAGTGCATTGGATTAGAATATTACACTATGTGAAAAATGTAATAAATTGCTATAGGTGTACCTAGATGAGTGGATCGTTCTACAACATTAAGGATTTTTAATTTAATCAGACATTTTTGTCGGACTTAACATTTTTAATATAAAATTTCTTTAATCTGATATAATTTTTTTAAACGGCAATACAAACTCTTCTAATATTTAAAAAGTATACTAAAAGGTACGAAAATAAGTAATATACCTATTAGGCAATGAATTCATTTTTTTAAACTTTAAGTCTGACGCTATGTTAAGAAATTAGTTGTAGATAATTTTTATACCCTACACCACTTTAGTGGGGAGGGTATATTGGATTTGTGCTGATGTTTGTAACATACAAAAATATTCGTCCTAGACCCACCTTAAAGTATACCAATCGGCTTAGAATCGTTTTCTGAGTCGATTAAGCTATGTCCGTCCGTCCGTCCGTCTGGCAGGCTGGCTGGCTGGCTGGCTGTCCATGTAAACCTTGTGCGCAAGGTACAGGTCGCAATTTTCAAGATAATTGGATGAAATTTGGCACGCACGTTTTATTTGACCCAAGGACGAAGCCTATTGAAAATGGTTAAAATCGGTCCATTATTTCACCTAGCCCCCATAGAACAGAACCCCCCGAAAAGGGCTTTTGAGCTCATAATTTTGTTAAATTTACAGATATATCGATAAAATGCGGCACAACTAAGTTTTATAGAAGTCTGGATGATCCTGCCAAATTTCATAAAGATCGGGCCCCATTTGACCCTAGCTCCCATACAAAGTCCCCTTCAGAAAATTACTTGAATATCCCAAATTAACTTATAAACACAAATATCGCGATGAAATTTAGCACAATAAACTATTATGTAAATATAAATATATTCACAAAATTTTATCGGGCTTGGTCCATATTTGCCCCTAGCCCCCATATACAGCCTCTTTCAGAAAATTAGTTTTTCATCCATAAATTGCTTAAATGTATCGGAACAAGGGAATATTGAAGATAAATGCTTTATTATGAAAAATAAATCACATTTAATATTCATAACTGGTGTAGGGTATCATATGGTCGGCCACGCCCGACTATACTTTCTTACTTGTTTCTTTTGGTAAAATCTTTTCAAATAAAAATGAGATGATTGCTTTTTCTCTGGTTTTTGTTGATTTCTTTTTTCCTGAAATATCATATCATTGGCAATTTTAATTCAACTGAAATAATCGAAAAATAAATAAAAGGCATATTTCTTAATGGACTTTCCCCCGTATTCAGTATCTCGGACAGAAATTTAATTTTTTAAATTTGTATGAATTTTTTTTCTTGTATTATAGTAAATTCAGAAAAATATTTGTAAGTTCGACATCAATTAAAAATTTAAATATGGTATTGTAAACTAATTGACTAGACCTACAAACATCACTAGGCCATTGTAATTTTATCCATGTAATTCTAAGTGCTTTACATTGCAAATGTTTGTTCAAAAGAAACGAATATTATAGATTGTACATATAAATTCAGCTGAAAGAGATGAATATTAGCTAAATAAAATATAATTATTTAAATAAAATTCATTACTTGGGAACTTTTTTCAAATAAATCAAATTTTTGATAAATTCAATATAATAACTTACTAACTTATATTGAAAGCTAATATAATCTATATTTTAGTAGAAGCTCTCAAGTTGAAACATTTTATATGGTTATGATATATACAATATTCTACAAATATAATCTAATGATGCATTTAGTTTTTTATCGAAAATGGACAAAAAATAAAGAAAATTTACCCAAATCTTCATAAAACCCTTTCTTTCGAAAATCAGTCTGAAGCTCAAAATATTGGTCCGACCGCCATATTAAAGTATGTATGTCCCTCTGTCTATGTGTCCATGTAAACTTTGTGCCCACGATACAGGTTGCAATTATCCAGATAATTTGGCGAAATTTGGCTCATACTCTTCTTTCGACAAAAAGGCGAAGCCTATTGAAATTAAATTGGTCCATTATTTTGCCTAGTTATATATAAATAATGGAAGATTTTAAGAAATTTAACAAATAATGGATTTTTATGTGTATACAAATATCCTCCAAGATGTTTTGCAGTCATATGAAGTGCTCTAAATGTCAATTAAGTGAAAATATTATCAGGACATTGACGGAAATTGGCTATTTTCGGAAATAACA